GTGTGTACGTGTACGTGTACGTGTAAGTGATGAAACTCCAAACTAATGTGCCAGAATTTGGACGATAAAGATGTATCTTATCTTATCTTTTCTTATCTTATTTCAGACCCTCTAAGTGACGGAGCGGTGTCGCCTCCTCTCAAGCACATCACCTCCGAGTGGACCCGTCAGCTTGTGGAGACCTTCGACCCCCTCGATGTTGTGGACTCGTCCAGCGAACGAAGCGCCTCTTCGGCCGATACCATGATAATGATGACGACGGAGGAGGAGCGGCGGAACGAAGAAAGCATCAAGTCGAGTCTGCTGGACTACAAGCTGAGGAGGGCCCTCAGCGGACCTAATAGTGCTGTGGCCCTCAACAGTGGCTTCGGCAGCAACAGCGTCAACAGCAGTAACTCAAGGATTACCCATCCATCCAAGTTCGGGAATTCCCCTTCACCTCAATTCGGGGATTCCCCTTCACCGAAACTAAGGATTTCCCCTTCGTCGTCGAAGTTCGGGAATTCCCCTTCTCCAAAGTTCGCGTCGTCGCCGTCTCCGAGGTTGGGCGGCTCGCCTCACGCTCTCTCGTCCCCGCAACACAGGAGGGGCGTGCCCAACAACTACGTGTCTAGCCAGCAGATGCTGGACAACGCGCGGCGCTCCCGGGATAGTCGCGGCGGTCAAGCGGAAGGGTGTGGCGGCTATGACGAGGGTTACGGGACGGACAGTCGGTCGAACACGTCAGCGTCCATCTCCTCGCCCCTCTCGTCCAGCCTCTCCTCTCTGAGCACGCTCGAGGGCTCTCAGAATCTGGGTCAGCATCTGGGAGGTGGAGGATACCACCACCACCACCATCTTCATCATCACAATCCGCAACAACATCCTTATCAAGTACATCAACAGTACCAAGCCAGTGGGAATAACAGTAACATTAGTGGTAATATTAATCATAATAATAACAACATTATCAACAGCAATAACGTCGGGAGCCTTGGGTCTGTCGGCGCTATGCAGAGAGGCCCTATACAGAAAGGGCCCCAACTCCAGGGCAACAGCAGAATGGCCGGGGGCCCCAAACTTGCTGGGATGGCCGTGAAAAGGAGAGACGTTCCGGTAGAAGCCAAGGAGAGTAACTCTAATCTGGAAGACAGATTGCGGGCTCTCACAACCATAGAGGAGGAAGAGTCGGGCTTAGATCGCACTCTCGGGAAAGCACGGGTTTCTTCAGGGATGTCTGAACTGGACAAAGGTGGTGTGTCTGGTCAACACTTTTCGAGATCACGTGACTGGCAGCAAGGGCAGCAGCAGTACCAGCAGCAGCTGCCTCAGCATCATCGAAACTCTGACGCATCTCAACATAGGAACGGTGGAAGTGGAAACGGGGTTTATGGGTGTTTCCGAGCAGTTCCGGTGGAAATTAAAGCGCCGGATGTGTCCGGGGGGCTAATGAGAGGACAGGATGTGGACGAAAATGAGCGAGGAATGTCGTTTCGAGGTAGGCCTCAACATCGGTTCCCTCAAGATCCGGTACCACCGCCCCCTGCGTCACAACAGGTGAATGGGGACGGGTGGAGGGATTATAAACGGTATTTCGAGAAAGACTGCGATATTCCAGCTCATAACATCGATCCGGCAGGTCGAGGAAAGTTCTCCAATTCTAGTACAGATAATGTACCTGATATGGACATAAATCGACAGATTGGAACCGGTTCCCCGGCGTATCCGAAGAAACACATGGATATGCGGTATCAGTCAAGCGAGCAGAGATCGAGAGAGTCTCCTTATTCGGTCCCGAGAGTCGATGCCGGAGGTGCGTCTGATCATCATCCCCTGATGGCTCCCACATCGAGGAGTTCTTACCCTGCCAATCACAGTAGAGGTCTCGGTCAAAGTTCACGCCCAGCTCACGTTATGAGCTCCATGCCTGACTTGCGAAGTCAGGAGCCATCATGGACTCACGGTATGACACCCAGACCTCATCAGGACAGTTACCCTGGGTATCCATTCCACCCGCCCCCACCGCAACACGACCATCGTCAGCAACAGAGACAACAGCAGCAACAGCATCCAAGTTACAGCTCCTCCCCACGTCAACAACGTTACCAAGACTTTGAGCAGCACCAGCAGTTGCAGCAGCAGTATCCATCTTATTCTCCAAGCCCTCATCTGTTTATGGACAACGATGATCAAGGCCCGTCATCTTTGCCCGCGTCACTCTCAGGCTCTCAATATTCTGGACAGTATCATGAGCCGCATGGCGCTGGCTCGTCGAGTGACCATCCGTCTAACGATCCATCAGGCCCCCTGGGAGTCAGCCAGGGTTACCCTGAAGTCGTTCTCAGACGATCAAGACTGACTGCTTCGGCCAGAGCAGCGCCAGGTAGACCCGACCGTTACTCATGGCAACCTGGGTCAACCTACCACGAAAACCAGCAGCAGCAGCTACATCTCTCCGACCTTGACCGTAACGTAACCCCTCACGTGGCAGAAAGAGCATCTCTTGATCTGGGCAGCATTCCCCAGCTGCAAAAGCAAATCCGGGCCACATCCGAGTTGTGTCTCCAGGCTTCACGTCGACATATGTTTGCGTCCTCAGCTGATATTTACAAACTCTTTTCTGGACAGCGCAGAACGCCTGCTTCTTCTTCTTCTTCAGCAGCTTCTACACCTGTTGCATCATCAGACTCGTTCGGTAGCGACGCCAGATCCCATTCAATGAGGCACAGTTTTCACTCAGTCCCGGCGGGAGGCTGGGGGAACGGACACCAACACTACGGTCACGCACAACAAACTCACAAGGACTCGCCGGGTACCAGACCCAAACTCAGGGTCATGGACCCCCTAGTGGCATCTCCGGGTCCAGTTCGCGCCGACCACAACATCAGCATACCCCCAGAAGCGTGGACAAACGTGACGGCCACAGCACCTACGTCACAATCTCAGCCGACATCGGACGATAGGCCACCACTACAACGCCAGTCCAGTGGGTATTCCTCAGAAAATGAACTTCAGCAGATCGAAATTAACGCAAAAGCAGCCAAGAAACTGCATAAAAAGCACGGGCACGACAAGAAAACAAACCCTCAACCGTCCTCAGCGCAGGAGTTTATACCTCTAAACCGGTCCGCGGACGGAGAGTCAACAGCCGATGACGAATTCACTGATAATGGGGAGAACGAGCCCGTGTATATGAACCAACCGATGCTGTCGAGGGCTCGCAATTTGGACGCTGTCGACAAGAGTTCAACTCCATCCGAGTCCCCGAGAGACAGAAATCTTCACATAAGGCCTGAAGTAGCCAACCCGCCACGAGTAAGTCACGGCGTTCCTCTAGAGCCCCACGTTCACATCCTACAGGCCAATCACCACTCCACGCCACCACCCCTCCAGCGGTCCTCTTCCTCTGCCCCGATTTGTCATCCTCCACATCTCTCAGCTAGTCCCACCTCCCAACCTCAATATACCTCCGCTAGCCCCGCCTACCACCATCATCAGCCAAACTCAACTAATCCTGCCTCCATTTCCCAGTTTACCTCTTCTATCCTCTCCTCTCAGCCCCATTACCAACAAGTTAACCCCACCTCTCATCCTCAATATCCGTCATCTAGCTCCACCCACCACCTCCAACAGCATCCCGCTAGTCTCAGTTACTCCTCTAGCCCCGCCCATGCCACGTTCATCGCCTCCGTCCCCGAAGCCGCCATCACTCAGAACCAGGTCATTAACCTCCACTCCCGACCCGTGACTATCACAAGCCACGTGCCTTCAAACCCATTCTACACCGAAGACAACGATAGCTACGACAGCCCGTTACTCACAGCTGCCTTGCCGGGATCAACAAACCCGTACACTTCATCTCTTCACAACAGCGGGGACCGGTATAACGGACTTTCGTCAAACCAACCTCCTCCTACAAACCGTCAAAACTCGTCACCAGCACCAACCTCGCTTCTCTCCACCCAACAACAGCCACCACAACAATCCAACCAGCGGAATCCTTCTCAATTCGTGGAGGGCACAGACCCCAGATCGCGGAATAGCATTTCGAATTCCCCTAAAATGGACCCTAGCCTAAGTGCAGCCCACGTAAGCAGCTCGAGACTCCAACAAATGACTCCTCCCTTAGACCAAGCTCACCCTCGCCCCTTCAGTTCTCCCTCTGGCCAGCAGCAGGGACATCTCTCGGTTCCCACGCGCACTCGGCCGGGCAGTAGCAGCTCTGTCCAGTTGTCTCCCGTGGAGCTAGCCCAGATGTTGGACGTCCCTTTCGAAACCAACATCATATCTGACGAGTCTGGGGACCGCTTGTCTACCCTGGTCTAGTTTCGGAGTCGTTGCAGCTATTTGTATGGTTTTTTACTTTCGAGTTTTTTCGGTCGTCTCCTTTGACAAGATATTTTGAAATGTTTTTAGTTACCTTCACTCTTAAAATTTGGGATTCTTTTGAAAGCTATATTTCGTTAAGGTGGGCCTATGACAGTATCGTGTTTACATGATGGAGGAGGACTTCGTATTCCCCGACAAGCAATGTGCTGTTGGCTAGACCGAGGCTAACAGAATCCAAGAGAGGAGAGACATGGTATAACGTGGACTAAGCTTATTACGTTCGACGGTTCTCGCCACTGAGATAAACAGTGTACCAGTGAAAGTGTTGGTTGCCCTGTCATTGTACCTGCAGGCAGCTAGCTTTACAGAGGTCCAACTTGGTGGGCAACTTGTTTGAAGTGTTGGCTGTTTCCAGTTTCTGGATTTGGATAGTGCCGAGCACCCATGCATGTCCAAATCTTCATGTCTTGAAGTGATAACATATAGCTTTTTTCGGCTGCTTTTTGGCATGTTGAAAATTCTCATCTGACGTTAACCGTTAACCTCTTGCCGTATTATGTCTGCTGTCTTTTCTCACATTTTAGGAGTATCCCTGCTGAAAACACTCTCTTTGTTTGGGTCAGAGTCTGTGCGTAATAAACGCGTTTCAGACAGGTATAGTTTTAGCACATCGCTGTTCTATAACATGTTTGCCCCAATTGTACGCTCAGTGGCCTTTGCCACGTTTTCACTTTGATTCGAGTCATTCAAAGAATATTCAGTAGAACCATAACAGAATTCTGAGTTGCCGACATACTTTCTCATTTCTTGAGCTGCTCTGTTCAGGCTCGTATCGGAAGATGGGCACCTTTCGAGGTCAAATGTCATTTATGCAGGGTGCATACACAAGAATATTATGGCTATGTCGTGGCAATGCCCACGATATAGCTATACCTTCTTTATCCACGACTTGACTATGGTTATCATGGAATGTTTGTGTCAGACGGTACATATATTACTCTGCTGATCCTCCTGTTGCGTCTTTGGAGCGCAGCTGCGAATGTGGATTTACAGTTGTTCCGGAGATCGACGTTTCAGTGTCCTACTGTGTCATCGGAATACTATAATTGTTAGGCAGAATGTAATGTAACCTATTGGAGACGGTTGTGAAGTTTATGGATACCCTTTATTCAGAGCTCTGTTGTAAGAGTTGATTTACAGTAACGTGTATATCAGACGTGACGTTGACTGGGCTGTTTTACCTTGAATGGTGGAGTATGTTTATTCTGATACGAACGAGCCAAGTGTATGATGATCCTCGAAAAATCAAAACTATCATGAGTCCTAGAACGCCCCTTCTGGGACTCGAAATAGGGTCACTCGCATCATAGCCTTGTGTGATATCAGCTGAGAAAAGGCACATCCGTCGAGAAGCTAACGGCTCCAATTCTGAGCGTCTAAGGTTGTCGATCTTTGTTGCTTTGATTTTTTCACCTCAGTGAATCATCATCATCATCATCATCATCATCATCATCATCATCATCATCATCATCATCATTATCATCATCATCATCATCATCATCTTAGTCCGCATTATTTTAATTACTGCTGGTTTATCATTATATGTCAAAATACAATGTGGGAAAGCTTTACCAGTGCTGAAAGGGTTTATGATCGATGAAATTCTGTCAAGTGTCTGTGCAAATCCTTGCGTTTTTGTAAACGGATTGTGTAAGTTGCTTTTGATGAAATGTTATGTACGTGCAGCTTAATCTTTTTCAACTGGTGGTTTAAATGAAGTGATTTCATGTGTTTGTTTCGTTTTGTTATGTCTTCTGTAATTTCGCTAATCTCGCTGGTATTTTATTAATATTTTGTGGGTTATTTGTAATGCGCTTGTTTGTGTTCAGGTGTGTTTCAATTTAAGCCGATTTTTCGCTTTTATAAATGTGCGATATGACTCACACCTTGAACTTACAGAAAGTTGATGGCACGTGTTCGAGTACTAGCCATTATAACGTTTTCGCGGAAGAAATATTCTGAAATGAGCACACCACAGGAATGACTATCCTATCTCATTTTCTCTTCTCTTCTCTTCTCTTATCTTATGTTTTCGAAACTTATATATTATAATTAAATGTATTATACATGTCAGTTGATAAGTAGATATTATAAATCTAGCAAATACTTACCACCGCCCTCGAGACTTTCTCAGTGTTGTTTCTGGGTCAAACATAGAGCTGGTTTGCTTTACTTAAGTCGACCAGTCTCTTATAAGATAACATTTGAAGCAGTGTGTTTTAGATGGGCCGCTGTGAATGCGTGTCAAAACTGTCGAATTGTCCAAGATAGCCGCCTATTTTCGTGAAGAAATATCTTTGTCTTCGATAGACAGACGTCTTTGAGAGTGCTATTATTGTATGGGAAAAAATACAAGACCAGGGGGCAAGTGGGAAGTGGTCGTTTGTGTAAACGATTGTGTTGGACAGGAGGCCTGTACGTAGACAAGTAGGTTTGACTGTGTCTGTCTTGTGGTGTTTCCGAACTTATTACTAGTCTAACACCTTTGTAGACTTGACATTTTTGAAAGGAGTACTTCGCTTCCCGAAGAAATCCCAACTGTCCCCCTTCCGAAAAAAAAAAGAGCCCAAACGCACAAACAAACAATAACAACACACACAAACAATCACACACAAACACACACAAACAAACCCATACACCATCAACATACACAAACATACACACATAATCAACTCACACAAACTCAAACATACACACTAACACACAAACCCACACATACACACACACACACACTCACA